AGTAAAACTACCTCATCGTCCTCTAACAGAATGTGATATAAAGAAATATGCTCGCGAATTGCAAATTGCGAACTTTCGCGGTGTTTTTACGAGGAACTCTCTGCCAACGCGTCCACGATTCAACGAGTGCTGTTGTAAATCTTGATGATAGTTTAGGACCTGGTACGCATTGGGTAGCATATCGAAAAAGTGGCAAAAATGTTTATTACTTTGATAGTTTTGGTGATTTAAGACCACCTCTAGATCTTATGAAATATTTCAAAGTTGATCAAATCAAATACAATTATAAAAAATATCAAAATTATAATACTTATACTTGTGGTCATTTATGTTTGAAATTTTTATGTGATTTGCTAGAACATCATGACAATTACCATTTGTATAAATACTGAGAATTGTGAATAAATAATTCAGTTTTGAATGATCACTCAGCATGGTTGAATCATTAACTCTCAGTTTGTCTGGTAAATCATCTATTCTAGAAACATATTATTTTCCACCGATAGAACTGGATAGAGATAAAATTTATGTTCTTGGTTTGGTAGAATTACTTACATTCAATTCGATACCAAATGTTGATGTTGGACACAATAAGTTCAGAGTTGGTGACATTGAAATTGAACTACCAATAGTCAGTTATGAAACTGGTGACATAGATAAATATTTAAAAGGTTACTTGAAGTCAACAGGGATAAAACTTGAAATAAAGCCCAACAACAATACTTTATGCAGTGAAATAACTTGTAATGAACCAATCGATTTTCAATAAAATACCTCTATTGGACGTTTGTTAGGTTTCACCAAACGGTTGTTGCCCGTAGATATAAATAATGTCTCTGACATGCCTGTTGCCATTCTCAAAGTGAACGCGCTACGCGTCGAATGTAACATAACATCTGGAGCATATGTCAATCAAAATAAGAGACATATCAGTCACGAATTCTTTCCAGCTGTACCACCAGGATATAAAATCATTGAAGTTCCTAAACAGATCATATATTTTCCTGTAACTATCAAAGTTATCGATCATTTACAGCTACGTCTAATTGATCAAGATGGAAATTTAATAAACTTTCGTGGTGAAACAATCACAATCCGTTTACACATAAAAAGAGTTTTATGATGGGAATAGTTTATAATCATAAAGTAGGCAACGGCTACATAACAACTCCATCATGCGCTCAGAAAGTCAGTCATCGACGGATAGCCAAAAATCTAACACGTCGCAACATTCAGTTCCTGAAAAATCTCGGTCTGAGCGTCGTCGGAAGCGCCGCAATAAAAAGAAGAAGAAACGTGAAAAATTTGAAAAACTAACTTGTATATTTGTGTGTTGTTGTCATCTCAAAGATGGAAGAAATACTTGGTGTGCAAGCATCTGTCATTTTTGATGAATCCATAGCTCACTATGAAGTTCATGCATATCAACCTTATAATTCACAAATATTCAATAATAGCGATGAAATTTGCATATTGATACAACATCAAGATTTATGTCTTTTACCATCAAAAAGTTCTCTGCATATCGTTGGAAAAATAAGAAAACAAGATGGTATTGTTACTGAAACAAAGTTCGTCAATAATGCTATATGTTACCTATTCGAAGATATCCGATATGAAATTAATGCCATTGAGATAGACAAATGTAAAAATGTTGGACTAACAAGTACGATGAAACGTGTGGTTTCATTGAATCAAAATCAAAGTTGATTTCTGGAGAATGCTGGCTGGCTTGATATTGAAGAAACTAAGAAGATAACTGACAACAATGGTAACTTTGATGTGTCAATACCTCTTTCAATAATTTTAGGATTTGCTGAAGACTATCACAAAATTGTTGTGAATGTAAAGCATGAACTTATTCTTACTCGATCAAGAGATAATTTAAACGCAGTCATGCAAGATACTGTCAAAATTGATAATGTTGATACATATGAACCTCTTAAAATAGAACTCACAAGAATTGAATGGTTAATGCCGTATGTAATTATGTCCGATAGGCGTAAAATACAGTTGTTCAATTTCATTCAGAAAGATGCACCTATTTCTATGAGTTTTTGGTCGTGGGAACTTTATGAGTATCCAGCATTACCACAAACATCAAAACATCTTTGGACTGTAAAAACATCCAATCAATTGGAAAAACCAAGATATATTGTAATAGGTTTTCAAACAAAACGCAAGTCTGATAAAACTAAAAATTCTAGCAGATTTGATCATTGTAATGTAACCAATGTTAATCTTTTTCTGAATTCTCAGCAATATCCATATAGAAATTTGAATCTTGATATAAGTAACAATCAATACTCTCTCTTATATGATATGTATGCTCAATTCCAATTGAACTATTACAATAGAGACTGTATGTTTAATCCACTTTTAGATCGAAAACAATTTATCACACATGCACCGTTAATAGTGATAGATTGTTCAAAGCAAAATGAATCTTTGAAACAAGTTGCTGTCGATGTACGTCTTGAGTTTGAAACCAAAAATGATGTGCCCGCGGAAACAGCTGTATATTGTTTGATTTTACACGATCATATAGTTAAGTATAATCCTATAAGTGGTCATGTAACCAAACTTGTATAACTCGTATAATAGCTATGTATACTTTTTCTGAATACGTAACTCTAATTGAAGAACTTGAGAAAAAAAGCACTTGGATTGAGATATCTTAGCGGATATTTACTTGAATTTGTAAAACCATAAAGTTTTATCAATGTAACAGAATATTGCATAAATAAAACCCAAGTCGAATAAATACTTCAGTCTTTTTCATTCATTTCAACGATGAGCATTGATGTGTTTGGACGCAAACTTGATAGAGCTGACGAATTAAACTTGAAAAATTTACATGAGAATCTGTTAGTCGAACTAAAAAATATTAAAGATACTATATTAAAGTTAAAAGCTGAATTAAAAGAAATGAGTTTATTGATCGATATTCATCTAGAGGAACTTGATATGAAATTTCTAGGGGTATATTCAGACATTAACAAGTTAAAGCAAAGTCAGTTAGCCCCACCATGATGTGCTTGCAGCTTGTATAAAGAAGCTTGGCTCATGAACCACACCTCATTCACTTTTTGTATCTGCACCACGGCTCGTTCGCCTTCTGTAGCAGCACCAGCTCAATCATGGCACAATTTATTGATTTTATTCAAGCTAAGGTATTAGCCAGCTTAAATGCACATATTATTTCTATGTTTGATGGTACAGACCCTACGATTCAAAAAGAGATGGATTCCTTAGAGTATTACTATGACGAAGGTGTAGAATTGATAACAGATGCTTATTATTATGAATATTCGGAGAAAGATTGCAGAAAAATTGAATACTCCATAGCCTTGTTGAAAGCTCTTTGGTATATGAAAGATTACCAGAAGATGATTGGTCATGGAAATGGTTATATTAATGATTTTAAACTAGATGATATTCCAAGTGCTATTCAAAGTAGGTTAGCTACACAAACATTGACGAATATTCGTTATTCAATAAACAAGGTTTTTTTCAAATATGTGGCTAAATGTGTTCAAGCCACGGTATTTAATTTGGTCAAAAAGGCATTTCTAAGGGAAGTAGACATTGTTTTTACAGCTGTGTATGAAGAACAAACTAGCAATCAATCTCCAAAAAAAAATAAAAGTCAAGCTGTTCAAAGTGGAAACTATTTCTCTTTACTCAACTCAAACCTATCAGAAATGGTTTGAAGAAAAAGTACAAGAACCTCTGATGATTATGATGGAAAAATTTGAACGTAACTATCCTTCTTACTCTTTCGAATTTATGACAAATGCAGTTGTCAGCTATTATAAGTAGCGCAGTTTGAGCATCATCAGATCATTCAGTACCAAACATTCAAATAATATGGACCGCTATCCAAACGTGAAGTACTCTCGTCTTCTGCAAATCAACAGTTTGACAACGGAAAGAAAAAAACAAATAATCATGTACATGTATAATATGTGTAAGCATATAATCATCACGCTCAACCTCAATAATTGTTTAGTTGTTTATAATTTATGATAATAAATAGATTTTTTTGTCATGTAAATTATATCTCTGTTTATTTAATAAACCTAACCCCAAAAGTTGATAATAAAAAAACTTTTATAATTACACAGACCTACACTTTCTACTCAATCACAATCAATTAGCATAAAGCAAACATTTTTATTTTGGCATGGAACAAGGGGCATGGGGCATGGGGCATGGGGCATGGGGACGGGGGCATGCACGTCAATAATACAAGAGTCGGTAACTGCCGGCGGGGGGCATGGGATCTGCACGTCGATACAAGACTCGGTAATTGCTGGCGGGGCCCATGGGGTCTGCACGTCGGTACACAGTCGGTCGCAAACGATGCCCGTCAAGCAGGTCGATATACATCGGTCGATAAAGCAGCTCATAGATCGCCAATATGAGGATTTATAACGGAGATCAGAGATAAACAAGAATTAAAAAAATTTTCAGCCTTGAATTATCGTTTGAAGAAAATAGAGAAAACATTTGATTGTATTCATGATTTACGCCATTTGTCAGCTCTTCAAATGTACTTCCACTTGGATCTGTATGTTAATTTACATTAAAGATGGACAATTTCCAATTTCCAACAATTTTGCCCGAGGTGGGTAAAAATACGTGACTGGAAGTGTATATATGTGTGTATATGTGTGTGCGTATGTGTGTATGTATGTACATGGGGTAAATCAGGCGGAATCTTGATTACAACAAACACATCTATATAACAGGTTTGCTCAAAATACGATAAATTTCCTTTCCAAACTAACATTCGTTTGAAAAAGTTTAAACACTGTATTAAAATATGTACGAAGATCTGGAAGATACTTATACATTCATCAGTACGTAATCTATCGTCTAAGCCTACTATGAGAACATATTTTATTTTTCAAATTTTTTAATTTTAGCGTGCGACAGTTTGTTTCAGCTATAACTTTATTATAGAAAATTGAAATTTAGTATGACTTATAACTAACCATCAAAATCCAGTGTTCCGGATCCATCGGCATCTATTTCTTCGATCATTAAGTCAAGTTCATCCGGTGACAATTTGTCATCAAGTTCATGTAAAATGTCACGGAATACATCCGTTGTTATGTATCCATTTCCTTCCTTATCATATAAACGGAAAGCTTCTCTAAGCTCTTGTTGCATTGCTTCAGTATCTTCTTCTACCAGAAATCTAGCTGCAAGCGTACAGAATTCTTCAAATTCCAGCTGCCCTGATCCTTAATTGAAAACTTTAAGTTATTTGTAATTCAAAAATTATGAAACTTTTATATCTATACTATATTTCTGAAAACAAGTTATTATTGTATATGAGTCTCTCAAATTCATAATCTTTCCCTTGAAAGTTTATCTTTCATTATAGAAAAAATAAGTCGTTGTACATCATACTGCTATAAAGTAAAAAATATTTTTTGTAATCTAAATCATCATTCTACTATTGTGATTTAGATTATGACAAAAATAGGTTTTCTATACAATAAAATATATTACTTAAAGTAATCATTTGACTAAAAATTTATATGATATTGAAAATGAATATGATATATATACGGGTTGATTTCCTTACAAAAATGTGATGGAAGCCACGTTGAAGCATATAATTTGTGATCTGAGTGACCCAAATGGAAAAAAAGTCGAGAAGTTTTTATTTGTATTTTCATTTCAGTACTAATCTGATTGATTTTAACAAGCAAATACAACAAAAAAATCTTTAATTCAACGTTCTTAATCGTAATGTAATTTATCATTTATCAGTTTTATCCCTTTATAAAAATGTGATGGATGGCATGGTGTAGCATTTTATTCGTGATCTCGTTGGCTAATATAAAGTCAGGTGATAAACATTTATGTGGAGGCAAATAAGCGTATAGATATGGTTTCAAATAGAAATTTTAGTAATAGAAATTCCTTTTTTCATAATTGATACTATGCAACGAATAAATATCCGTCAAGGTACGCACATGTAATGAGGAGTAACTGCAACGGAAAATAACGAGCGCAAATATGAGAGAGAGACCGACCGAAAATTCGGAAGTGCATCACAGAGAAACATGCTGGCTTCTATTTTTCTTGGCCATTTTTCAGTTTCTCGCCAGAAGGAAACCTCTTTTTTGTAGTACGACCTAGCTCGTTTGTGGTGATGATGCCGACTAGGTGAAGTAGATAGAGTCATGATTCAGTTAGTCAGGATTAGAGAAGTGAGCATAATGGGTGTTCGGTGAGTGACACGTCGTGATTCGCGAGTTATAATTAAAATAAGTGTCGGTGCCATGGGCAACATTTGAATGAAGTGTTCGACGCCATGACACCCGGCTAAACATGTGCCGACAAGAAAACGCGCGATAAAGGAACTACTCCGCGCACGCGCCAGAGAGAGAGAGAGATAGAGTGCGCGCGAAATTGATAGAGAGAGGGAGAGAGAACGTAAAAATTAGAGAGCGCGCGCTGCTAAGGTGTGTTCACAACGGTAAAGTGACACAACCTAAAGTCTGTACGCATAGAGTGACTTAACAGACACAAGGCAGTGACCCGGTATGGGAATGCCTGCGCGTTAGAGCATGCGCATCACAAAAATAAGAACATTACTTTAAATAATTTGAATAATATATGAATACAATAATTACATATAACAATTATACTTATATATATATTTATATATATACATGCATATATTTAAAATGTGTAAATTTAATTAAATTTCAGCAAATTAATACACATATAATTAGGAATATTTAGAGATTGAAATTGAGTAAATAGATTTAATTATTTAGAGCATAAACAGAATGTTGACAAATGTATATATAGAATCTCCTCTCCTGCAAAAGTCGAGATTGTTGCACTAAGTATAGTCAACATCTCTAATGACTTTGATAATCAGTTAAAGGATCGGTCTGCTATTGCGAACGTGAGCGATCACCCTCCCAAGTAATTTGCACTACGTATGGTTATCTGAAGAGGAGGGATCACGGGAGTAGTATCGGCCGATCTGATAGTTGAATGTCGGTTCTCGGAATATACCTGTCGGATGTATCTGACAGATATTAGAAAGAAACCACACTACAGCTCATTTAAAGACGAAACATTTGGTAATATTATTGTAGATGATCAATAACAACGAGGAGGTTGTAGAGGACATGGAGACACTGAACGACGCCGACCAGAACAGCGGTCATAGCGTCGAGAGTACTGACGAAACAGGTACATAAATTTAATAAAAGTTGTACTTTTTGAGATTAGATAAACTATAAGACAGTCTTAGAGAAATAGAGTGCGGATCCGTAATTAGAAATCAAATAGAGAAAATTCCGAATGTTTAGTTGAAAAACTATCTTATAGCACCATCAAGAATAGACGGCGACACAACAACATCTAGTGTCGCCTAGTCAGTACCCGGAGCAGCGTCAGATGAGCAAGCCCCTGAGTTTATGATGCCCATCGCCACCGCTCAGCCTGCTACTGAGAGTAGGAGTAGGCGAAATCATCGCCTGATCGTCCCACACCGACTAACCCTGAGAGCTTCAAGCGCCCCCAGAGACGATGTGAGGGAAGCCAGGAACGATAAAATCCTGGCGACCGTCGAGAGAGTGGCTGAGGTTCAGGCTAGGGCCTGGCCTCAGATCACTGAAGCTCTAAAAGATGCCAGAGCTATAATGGAGGCCTCGCTAGAGTCTAAGAGGCTAGACATTAGAAGACTAGAGGTAGGATCAAACAATAGAGATACCAACATAATTTCGAGCGTTATATCCTCTTCACCGTTACAAAATGTTAGAGACCCCCGTTCTCCATCAATAGAATTTTAGAAGAAAACACCCAAAATCTAGAGAATACCAGAATAACAGAAAACCCAATTAGAGCTAATAGAACCAACATAGAAAGTGCGAATCCTGAGAACGGTCGGAACAGCCTTACGACTGACATTAGCAATCAGCTACATCAGACTTTTGGTGCTCTAGCTAAAACGCTGGAAAGTACAAGCTCTACATCAAAAGCGTCGTTCAAGAGGGATTATACCCTAACTTCTAAGGCTAATATCAACGTATGGTTGGACCGGTTGAACTCAGAATTATTCGCAAAAGAGTTATTAGATATGATAGACCCTAATGTTAGAGCCAAAAGAATTTTTGATATAGACAAGTTAGATAAAAGAAATAGATTAGTTAGAGATATTATCATTAACCATTTAGATGAAAACTATCACAAATTAATCCTAAATATAAATGATCCTATAGAAATAATTACAAAAATTAGAGAGCATCGAAGAATAGAGGCTAACACGGACGACGCAAAAGTGAGGGAAGAGCTGTACAGTATCAAAATAAATAAGAAAGACAAAATTTCTGTGTTCCTAGATAGGTTTGACTCAATCATAAGAGAATATGAGTTATGTGATACAGCTATTCCTCTCACTGATGCTGAGAAAACGTCCGTCTTTATGAAGGCCGTAAAGGATACATACCCACGAATTAGAGAAATGGAGATTATGACTAAAAATAGCAAAAATAGAGGAATGACCTTAGAGGAAATGAAAAACTTTGTTCGACAGTTAGAGGCTGACATTAGAGGAACCAACGCAAGCGGAGCTTCAGGAGTGTCTGCAAGCGTGGCAAGAACTGGGTCGGTCGGTGCTGGTTCCGGTGGGACCAACAAGTGTTTTAGATGTGATAAACATAATGTGGATCACATCTCTGACACTTGCCCACTGGTCCAGTTCGGGCTGTGGTTCTGCTACGTTTGCAGAGACTTCGTCCACCACACGGGCAGGACGTGTCCGCGCCAGAACCAAGCAAGTGGATCTAGAGGGAACGGGTATGATATTGGTGATAAAAATATAAATAATAAAGGATTAAAAGGAAGAGGGTCACATAGAGGTTCTAGAGGAAACTTTAATAGAGAAATCAATAAAAAAAGTAGAGGCAATAACATTAATTTTAGAGGGCAGAATAGGGATTGAGTGGGAAACCGGGGAGCAAGTAGATATTTCTATCCCAGCGGAGACAAAAACAAAAAGAAGTTGGTAAATGCAGCAGTCGCTCAAACTGAAGGTAAGAGCACAATTAATAATCAATGTAATAAAATAACCTTTCTATTAGACTCTGGAGCGACAGAGCATATTACCAACAATGCATTCGTCCTACAAAATTTTAAAAGAAGTTCAGGAACTTGTATTAGAAGCGCAAATAAAAATAGGTCGGCCGATATAGAGATAGACGGTAGAGGCGATCTATATATAAAAGATTTAAATAACAAAGACCACATCATTAGATTAACCAACGTTATAGCTGCCTCAAACATATCTGAAAATTTAATGTAACTTAGGAAATTTGCAGATGCCGGCTTCGGTATTTACTTAGATGACAAAACCTTAAAAATCTTTGATAAAAACGATGGTTCTATATTCTTAACCGGTTATTATGCAAAACCAAATTGGCTGATTGAATTAGAAGTTACAAATAAAACTGAGAATCCAGATAACCAAACGTACAGTAAATACGTCTGTACAACGCGAATGATTACTCTAGACGACCTCACCAATCAACGGTCAGACGTGAAAATAGAAAAAGATAAAGAATTTATGAATTTAGAAATTGGGAGGGAGCCAGAGTCGAGCGAATTAATACCTAAGTTCAGTCAATATAGAGATTTTGAGAATTATACATTAGACGACCTGAAAAACGATAAACCGATGGATGATTTATTTACATCATTCGAATTAGAGAAAAGATACTCAGAAGAGTTAGATGAAGGGATGTTATGGCATGTTCGACTAGGATATCCTTCCTATGATTATCTGTTAAAACTACAAAAGATAAATAAAGAACTTAGCAATGTGAAATTTAATGAGAATATTAAAAACTGTGAAGTATGCATAATATCCAAAATGAGTAAACAGCCTTTTAAAGAAATAAGAACCAGAGCTGATCATCCACTTCAACTAACTCACTCCGATATAATAGGTCTATTTAAAACAATTACACATCCTGGTCGAAAGAGAAATATAATAGTTTTCGTAGATGATTTCTCAAAATTTCCCAAAACGTATGCCATAGTAAACAAATCTGAAGCAAGAGAATGCTTAGAAAATTATTTAAATACCATGAGAAATCTTATTGGAAAGAATCATAGAGCTTGCTATATAAGAGCTGATAATGCTAGAGAATTCACAGGAGGTAAATTTCGAGAGGTCATGAAACTAGAGTCGAACTTTTCGAATCCGTACACA